GGCCCGTCCGCGCCGCCGAGCCCCGGAGGCGCCGCCGCGGTACCTTGTAGAAGGTGACGGTGTCGAGCGGCACGGAGCCCTTGGTGTGCAGCGCGCTGCCGCTCGGCAGCGCCAGCCCCAGCAGCACCAGCAGCAGCAGCAGGGAGCCGGCGGCGGCCGCCGCAGCCATGGCGGAGCGCGGAGCGAGCGCGGCTGCCGCCGGGGCGCGCGAGGGCGGGGCCGAGGCTGGCCCCGCCCCCGGAGATGGGCGGGGCGTTGGGCGGGGCCTGCCCATCCGCGACTTATCGCGACACGCGATAAGGAGGGGGTTGCGGAAGCAGCGTTTTTTACGTGATTGTACATAGTGTTTTTTTTAAACTTTTTTTTTTTTCAATTCATCATCGCAAGCAGCGCGGCAGAGGGTGAACAGCAGCAAGGGGCTGCAGCTCCACCCTTACCCAGCCCCTGTAGGAGGCATACCGGGTGCAACACTCATTTAAAAAGAAATATATATTTAACAGTACACAATGGAGAGGGAGGGAGAAGTGCTCCCTCGACCATGCCCCCAAAGGACCGGTGCACAGCCCATTTTATACACCCACAGTGCCTCCTCCCCAAGAAAACCATGTAAAAAGATGGTGAACCATTTACCACAAATTCCCAAAGCTTCATGCCTGACACACTCATCCACTAGCCCCTGGAGCTGGAAAGGGACTAATATTCCCGACGGGAATGATTTTGTGCTGTACTGGTACAGAAAGAGCCGGCCAGACGCAGCTGTGCAAAGCAACCACGAGCCCCAGCTCACGCACAAACAACCGCCCCAAGTTTCAATTCTGCTTCTAGGGGAGCCAATGCAGAACACTTTTCCTTTTGTAATTAATAAATAAATAGAAGTTCTGCTTTCTGGTGCATGGAGGATTTTAAAAGCTTGCTGTGTTAAACTCGCTTCACTTACGTGTTCACTGTTGCTCTTGACGGGACTGGTTCGGTTCCACCYGTGGTTGCAGCAGCATCAGGAGACTCCGACGTCCGTCGCTGCCAGGACCGGCCTCTCCATCTGCAGGCAACACTCGAGCCTGATGCCCGTCCCAGCTGGCGAGGGGCGGGAATGGCCTGTCCCCTCCTTTGGGGAAGCTGGGCAGTGCGGCTTGGGGCTCAGCGCTTCCTCGGAACTGCACACCCGGAGCAGCGGGGCTGTTCTCACTTACCCCACGTACTCCAAAGGATCAACTTGAGTCATCAGTCTTGCTTTAATTTAAGTAGCACACCTTTCGTTCCAAAAAAAGGTATTTTTATACAACGTATAAGACAGCTCAGTTTGTTCAGGGAAAGTATTACTATAAAACAAACTCAACACATTTTGGTATTTCTCCAGTCCAGAGCACTTACCAGACATTGCAACTAAACCATGAGCACATCCCTCTCGGTTCAGACAGTAGGTAGGCAGCCTTCCTTCCCTCTAGGATGGGGCAAAGGGAAACCAAATCCAGCAAGAGCAGCAGCGTCAAATTTTACATAGGGGATTTATTTTAAAAAAATACTCTCATCAACATTCTAGCATTTCTAACAAAACATATTCAGAAGAGATGACAAAGGTAGGATTGTCACCTCTCTTAAAACTTTAAATATAGACTTCAGATAATAGCTGCTTTAAATCAGAAGATGAGGAATCTGTAGAAGCCTGACCTGTCCCTCGCACAGGAGGTGCCACACGGACTTGTATGCTTACACCAGTTTCAGGCTGCATTACTCCTTTAAAATGAGAGGAAAAGGAAAAAAAAAAAGAAAGAAAAAAGACAGCAGAAATGCAGATTCCGTGGGAGCAGATGATGCAATTGCACTAACAGAACGCCTAATGAGCTAGCACTCGAATAATCAAAGATCAACTGCAAAAAGCAAGCGTACAGTTACAAGAAGCATTCTCAGCCTCATACCACAGCGGAAGCAAAAGTTACCTCTGCCAACTTAAAAAACAAAGCCAATAGGATTTCATTTCTATTAAAATATTGAAGTCTTAAAGTTTCAATAATCTAAATACACTTTTTTAAAAGTCATGATGATTGCTGCTTTACATTAAACTGACATGAAATCAGAGGCTGCGGTGTCAGACTTCACCGCAGCTGTTATATACACGGTCTCTGGCTTTGTCTTTTTTTGCTGAAACATTGATTCCCATCCTTCTCTCTAAAGCTTACGGGCCAAGTTTGCTCTTCGGAGGCCTGCAGTTTTCTCCGACGGGGAGAACCACCTGTGTGTGAACTGACAYCACCCACCTCTTCCCTCCAGCGGTTCTCTCCGTGTCAGTCCTGGGAGGAACCTGCACCACCACCAGGCCGAGTGTAGCCCGGACGCTACAGCCGAAGGGCTGGGAGCTGCTGGAGGCTGTAGGTGGAGGGTGTTTCTCCAGTGCAAAGTCACCTCTCCCGCTGGACCCGCACGCTGAAGGCAGCGGGACCGGGCRGCTGGCGGATAAACCAGGCAGCTCCAGAACTGGCTCATTTCATTGGAGGCAGCTCAGTGCGGGCATCTACAATTTCGGCATTTCTAAGGCAAGGACCATACAAAAAAAACCTTATAAACACTGTATGGTGATGAAAATACAACTCCTCTGAGATGTACGCTTTACACTGGTTTCTATTGCTGCTTCTAAAGACCATCTCCAGTTGGTTCTAGAGATCAAAAGGGAAGAAAGTTAATTTTCTCCTGCTGTTATATGCTTATGAACATGTATAAAAAGTGGTCAAACCCTCATGAGGGTCCCTGCTTCTGGTTTATGTACAGTAATTTAAATCAGCTGAATACATCTGTAATACCTAAAAAAAGTTGTTTTAAGATTTTTAAGTCCTTCATGCATTACGAGGAAGTTCTGGATTAAAGTGATGGTATACTGGGTGTTGCTTGTCTGGGACTCTGGTGTCACTCTCCTGGAATCTTTGTCAAAGATGCATCTCTTAAATCTTTAGTTTTTTAATGGTATCGAGTCTCTTTTTCAGCAGCTCTCCAATTTCCTGAATTGAGTGATGGTAACTGCTCTGGACCTTCCCTTGCACAGTCTTTGTAAACTTTTGTTCTTCCTGCAAAGCAGAAAGAGATACAGGTCACTCACTCCACTGCAGTGATTCAAATCCTCTTTTCAAGCCTTTCCCACCCTCTCTACAAAGAAYAGTTAAGAATTTCATTAGGCCCACCATTTAAGATTACAAAGGGAATCTTCTCAGCACAGAACAAGTAGCACTATTTTTGCAAGTCTGTCTTCTGTAGTAATTRGATGCCTCACACAAAGGGTTTTGCTCTTATTTAAGAGCAAGGCTTGAAAAACCAAGCTGCCTCATTAGGCACGTGCTCCTCATGTCTAAATGTGGCACAGGGCTTGCCATAAGTCCTGTTATTCCTACCTTTGGTTTTCTTTATATAGCTAAGAAGGGGAAAAAGGTTTCCAGACATTTTTTCCATATGCATCAAGTAAATGTYTCCAGGGAAGTGACTGATCAGCAGTTTGTGAAGTCTCAAGTTTCCTGGATTAGTCTTTTGCATCCATTATAGAGTATCGTATAATACACATGATAGAACAGTCACACCACTGACRAGAAAATGATACCAAAACCCCAAGATTTTATCCTCTACATACCAGATTAAGTGAAAGCAGTTTAAAGGTGTTGTGTTTAAATCTCATTTTTTAACACTATTTTGTGCAGTAAGCAAAACCTGACAGGATGAGGCAGCCACTGCACCAGATCACGAGCTATGAAAAACTAACTCTGCCACTGCAAAACCAGCTTCTAGCAGCCTGTCCCTAACCTCTGGCACAGAGTCAATCACAAGAGGTTTTCTTCTTTTTACTCCTTCCAATAAAATACTTTTCTTTTGGAAAAAATGCATTCACCCAAGCTATTCTGAAAATATATATACTTATAGAAAATATATATATATTATAATATATAATATATATATAATATATATATAATATATATATATAGACTATATATATACTTATAGAAAATAATCTATAAGTATAGATTATTTTCTGTCATATACAAATGTACAGAGCACAAAAATCACAACACAAGTTCTTACCTGTAAAAGCAGAGTATCCTTGAGGGACAAGTCTTCAAGTTTTAGTGCAGTCAGAATTATTTCAAGCCCTTTGATATGATCTATTACATTGGAAGTTAATGTCTGTAGGTCAGTAACATAATCCAGAAAATGCGTAAATACAGGAGGCTATAAAAATAAATACATAATTATAAACGTATTAACATCTATGCACATGACTATTCCATATGCTTTATAAAGTGAGTCGTTATATAAGTTCTATTCCCTGTGCCACTGCTAAGCTATCCATACTGATTCATGTAAATGATAGCAGCTAGGCAGGWAACGGCAGTGCACTTGAGACAGGAAGGTCTGAGATGGTATGAACCTGCCATGGGATGTCAGATGTGGCACTTTTACCATTTGATTTTAAACAGAAAATCATTTTTAAACATCAATAGTGAGTAATTGCTAGCCTACATCAGACACTACACGGTAGAGCTTAGGAAAACAAACAACCCCAGCATCTTAACACATCATCTGCCCAGATTTTGTCCTTCATCATGAGGGCAACTGGACTTTTGCAGGGAGAAGAGAGGGGATAGGAAAGAAGTGCTGTGTACCATAGCTACGCTGCTTTCTTTTTTTTTCTTCTTCTTTTTTTGCAAGTTGGATTTAAAAGGTCGGAGGACGCTGTCACAGTAACTCGATACCCACAAAGTGATGGAGATCGTCTGGAAAAGAAAACAACAAAAGGTACCAGTGTGTTACAGGTTACATGTTACAATGCATGAAGAGGAAGGAGCAATCAGAAATTGAGAAAACTGTATTAACTAGGTATGCTTAACTGTCCTTGCCAAGAACAGTTCACCATTTCATCAAGAAAAAAATGGCTTTGGGCTTCAGATTACTCTCCAGTTCTAGTCTGATGATGAAAATTAAGGTTTACATTCACATAGTGCATCTACATATACAGTCAAAAGCAACAATCTGCAAGAAGAAATGGGAAGGGATCAGAGTTTGTGCAGTTCCAGGATGTCAGATGGAACATCTYTGTTTCTGTATTAGGTGGCTGAAAGTCTTCAGACACCAAATGGCAGCAAAGAACAAAAACAAACAAAATACATACCTCAACCAAGAAGACTAAGTTTTCTAACAAGTTTGCATGTGTTTTCAAGGTGCCATCTCTGACTTCAATCAAGTCACCTTTACATTTATTGAACAAGCCTGAAAAAAGAAAAGAAAAGCCTTATTTGGGACACACCAATCAACTTAAATGCTTAATTTTCTGTGAAGCCTGCATCACTTGCAGTGTACAAAGCCGTTAAGAGGACTGACWGTTAGGCAGTTAATGACAGATTTGGCCAAAGCAGCTTAAAAACATCCAATTCTAAGATTCCCTCTGAATTGCTCAGCATGCAGCACACATACAAAGAATCATTAAAAAGAGCATCTTTGCAGCATTTACAGCTACATTAGGACAAAGCACTGGGGAGACAACTGCAAAGACTGCAAGGCAGCAAAAGTGCACAGCATAAGGATATTCTGTGGCATGCAAGAACTTCATAATCAAATAAGCCAAAGGGAATATCAGTCTTGCTCTCAAGCATCTTTCAAGGGAGTCTGCAGATGCATTTATGCACTTTCTCAAAGTTGCAGCACTTTCTTAGGAACATATCCTTATCATATAGAGCACTTCCTTAACTACCTATGTTTATTTATTATTTACCTGTCAATCGTTCTATTAATGACTTGAAACTATTCCCTATCCTCTCCTGGACTTCTGCTGAATCTTCTGAAAGAAAAAAAAAAAGCCGTTTTAAACTGTTAGCGTGTACATTCTCTGCTTCCAGACAACCAAGAGACATTTAAACGGTAGAGACATAATTTAACGGTAGCAGTTAAAAACCAAATGCAACTGCTTTCAAAAAGGACCCAGTATTACATATACTGTCCAGCAAGTCAGACTAGAAGATTAAATTATTGTCTCCTGGAGAACCTGGTGTCATTCATTATCTTCACATGAACAGTTTAACAGTCTGGGGCCAAGTTATCCATTGCCCTTGTCATTTCTCATGCTAAACACAGACATACTCCTCTCCCTCCCACCACATGCCATGACAGGCTGGTGAAGCCCCTGCCCCTCAAGCACTTACCTAGGCCATTGGTATCTAGTTCATAAATATCACTAACAAGATAAAACAAGCTAGTCTGGCATTGACAGCTGCCATTACTGAAGAAGCCAGCCATTCGGGTAGGAGGAGGGCCAAGGACAGGATACTAGGCAAGAAGCAAAGAAAAAGATAAAGGTGTTGCAGCTTTTCCTTATCCAGAAAACAGTGTTTGTCTCTGGCACATCTCTCAGTCAGATTCACACACTACAAACTCGGGCTCAGTTAAGTGCATTCTGCAGCCTGTTGGACGTTACAAGGTGCATTCAGTTTCTCTGCTTGCATTCACGTTCACTTAATATTTGGGAATAGCTTTTTCCTTAACGGATACCTGAATTTTTTGTTCTAGAAACTTCTTCCCTGAATCCACTGCCGCTTCCAGCTGCTGAAGCAGAGATCGAACTGTATCAATCTTGGACGAGACGCCGTTCTCTGCAGTCTTTTCAGAGTTCTTTGGTTGAATAGAGTGACTAAGAGTTGGGAGTCCGCTTACTAGCCTTAAAGTTAAAGATCGGATTCGCAACCACAGGGTTTCTTCCTCCAATGAGAGTTTCCTATGTTCTTCAGAAATGTCCCTGGAGAAAGGCACCAAACGTTTTCAGGCAAAGGCTTCATATTTGCAAAGTAGCAAGCTTCGCTCAGGTACAAAAGCCTATCCAAAGGTTTGGAACARTGCATGAAGAGGAAGGAGCAGTCAGAAATTCAGAAAACTGTATTAATAGGTAAGATGGCAGCACTGCTAGAAGTGATGAATGATGCTCGTTAAGCTTGCGGTTAGCTAGTCTACAGAACGTTTAAGTATGGGAGACGCCTCARAAAGGATTTTCTTTCCCCGTAAGCATTATCAGAAAGGTGCAACTCCACAGCTCAGGGGATCTCTACTCACCTGTCTTTTGGATCCCAGTTAAACAAGACTGTCAAGTCTCTGTTGTCCCGCAAATCTTTCCACGGAATGTCATCCTCCTCTGGGCTCAGACTCATGGACTTTATACTTTCTTCTAAACTGGTTGTTCTATACATGAGAATTAGCAGCATTAGAAATCAAACATTTATTAATTATCATGCAGAAGCACAGTTCAGTAACAGGTCACATTCTCTTCAGTGTAACTGTAAAGCATCAGAAATGTTGGATACACCTAGGATTCTGTCAAGGATGCTGGAGGGCAGAGAGAATTAGAAGCAAGGAGAAGTGGCTGTGACTGAGAAGGTGAGAGTGTAACTAAGTGAGGTCTCAACGGACCCCACAGTCTGTCCATAGGCAAAGCTGTGCACACTACGGCACTGCTCCTGCTGTACTTACATATTGGCTTCAAGTAAGAGGTCTAGCAACATGCGCTCCGTGCGAACTTGCGCAAAATGAAGGGAGGAGTTCAGCCTGTTTCTAAACGCAATGAATTCAGGGATCTTCTCAAACGCACCATACTTGTAGGCTTGAATGATATATTCTGAGGTCTGGAAGAAAATACACACCAATCGCTATATTAGTTACTTCTGTAATTCAAAACAACCTGAGTTTAACAAGGTCATCGTGAAGCAATCGCATTTCTGTGGCTTTAATTAACTTGGTGATACAGAATCTGATAGAGACTCATCTTCTGGGACAAGCCTGCAGTTTTGCTTGTCCAAGTCATCACATGGGGATGCATYATTTGCTTTAATAAGCAAACCAACACTGAGAAGCATCGTGTTGTTGTCGCACTATGATTGAAAGATGCTTAAAGAAAGGGAGTTGATTTTGGAAGTGTGTTTTTTTTTTTTTCCCCTTCCTTTTTCACTTTTTTGAGATGCGTTATTCAAGTCACAGATTCACTATAATAAGTACTTTCAAGTAAAATAAATAAACATACCACAACATCAATTAAAAGAAAAATACTCACACTTTTTAAAAATTTCTCTTTATTAGATTTTTGAATACAGGATCACAGGATATCATCATGCAGTGCGTACACATTAGAATACAATCCAGACAGCAAAGGAAACTGCCAGGGTTCACAGGATGGTGTTTCTCCTCTGATGGAATGCAGCAGCACAAGACACCCGAGTGTATTTCACATCAGTCCAAGTGATCTCCAAAAGGAGATCAATATGATGAAGAAGYCCCGATCAAGCACGATATTTTAATGAAAATATCTAAACGTAGAGACAGGAGGAGGAATTTATGCTCCCAGTGAAGACAGAGTACTATGTTTTGAATCAAAGTATCTCCAAGAATGTCAAATTTGGGCAAATCAAGCATCTTCTTCTGAACAAGATTCAGATGCACTGAAGATGAAAGGCACTCAAAAAACCTAATCACCTGTACACTACTCTAACAGACTCAACCTGTSTGGAAGGCTCTAAGAGACCAGCAGCTCGTACTCGCAGATAAGTCACTGTATATAAATGTTCCCCCTTTCAGAAGTAGTGTCCTCTACATAACTCTTTTTTTTTTCCCCAAAAAAAGAAATTTGGTTATTTGCATTATATGAAAAAATATGCCAAATATTCAACAACATACCCTGTGTCTGTTAAACAGCCTTGCAGAGCTCATGTCAGGCTGCGGGACTGCGCTATGGGCGCTAATTCAACTGCATCGACGTGGCTTTTAAATCCCCATGGGACACGTTGCTGCTCTGTTTGCCTGCAGTATCTGGAGAAATTAGAGACGGACGGACACAAGAAAATTAGAGAGATTACTTGTGATTCTGCATATGTAAAGGAGGACTATCTCAAAAAGGATGGAGTTGCCTTTTTAGCATTGATGAAGCACAGCAACGCTGCCTGTCACTCCTCCCTGTCCTTGGCATCCTCTCTCAGGACAGAGATGTCAGCATTGCACAACATCCTGGACAACTGCTGCTCCTGGGACCCCCTCTTAAATACAATTCATTTTACTACAGGCTGCAAGTCCAGCAAGTCAGAAAGAAAACATATTCAAAGTGAATGATTTGAATTAGCAGCTSTATCTTTATGCCAGGTCCTTTAAGTCCTGGGCTTCTGTTTCAGGCAGAGCCTCATCACAATGCTGTAGGATGTATACAAGACACTATGTACCAGTTACTACGCTATATATTTAACTGGTATCTTAAAACACCAGCCTAGAGGGGAGCAGGCAGCATCTGAAATCAGCTAAAAGGTAACTCCTAAGGACAGCCCTCCTTTAACACTGCAGTCAGATGCTGTTACAGGATTTGAATGGGAAACTGGACCCTTAGCATGAAGGAGCAACCCCAGCAGAGCCACAGAAGCAAATAAACTGGTGGCAGATTCTGACCCTGTGATCCTGAAGACACATCTCAGGCTAGGGAACCTTTTCTTTTCCCCCTATTCTCTCCATTCTTGATACACCACCACCCTAGACAAGCTGTACTTTGAAAGTGGCCTTGGCCTCCTCCAGTTTGYACCTCAGGGTTGGTTTTAGGGACACCCTGTTTGTAACTTGTAAAGCTTTTGATGTTCTCATGTCTTCCCATGAGAAAGGACTTGAGGCGGTAACCACTGGCAGTGTCCACAACAGGCATGAGAATGTCGAGCAGCAGAGTCAAACAGCAGCTCGCGGTGCTTTGGTTACAACAGCATCTCCAGAAGAAACAGGCACAAAGTGGTTTCATAGCACAAAGAATTATGTAACGTTGATTGCATTATATTTTCTCCCTCTTGCAATTCCAGCCTTCCAAGGTGTGGCAGTGAGGCAGATCAAATCATTCAGGGACTACCTTTCCAGCATTTCCAGACCATCACTGAAGGAGCATTTTCTTGACAAGAACCCTTTAGTTCAGTGGGTCTTTTTCCGCATACAGATGCTGAGCTAYGAAGACATCACTTCTCTTCTGTATACACCATTATCGTGAGTCACGTCAAGAACTCTTTCCCAAAGTAGAGCTCCCAGGCAGTAAGCACACCTGAAATGACTCCAGGCGAAGTGTTTTCCAGGCAAAGACAATTCCCTGCTGTTCTGCAACGCGGTGCTCGGGTGGGTAAGTCACATTTGGCAGTCTCCTCAGGGCACTTGCTTGCAGCTGGCTCACTGCACTCAAATGGCTTAATTGGAYAGCCGATTCCAGGCACAATTTTCATTAATACCCACCAAGTGATTTTCAAACAAGACTGAACTAGTTACTCCTCATCAAGAAGGATAAGAAGTCACTGCAAGCAACAGGTATGTAGGAGAAGGCTGTTTGGATCCAGGCTTTTACTTCAGCACAAAACAYTGCACTCGGGAACACACAGCAAGTAGAATTGGTGCTTAAACAACAAGTAATTGAAGGAAGCAGATGAAAACAAGCTCCCAATGCRYCACGCACGTGCATATCTGGGCATACCCCTCTGTATAGTRAAGTGTAATTTCTGCATCAGATGAAGGTCACATTAACTTTGCATCTCTACCTTCCAAGGACAGGAACATGATAACTGGTATCCTCAATGTAGGAATAACCAAGATTGCCAAAAAAAAGCAACAGAATCACTGTGTTATTAGTAACATATGTAAACATCTTTATTATTGAGCATTGATAACCCCTCTGTTGTATKTAGTGCTGGAAGGGAGGGAAAGCAAGCTCAGACTGCAGAGCCTTGGGAGCCTGCTTGGCCAGTGACTCACGAAGAGTTGCAATGGAATTGAACCTTGGCTTCTTTTACCCAACAGAATCACTTTTTTCCACCTACCTCTCACCAGTGAACACACTTTATTAAGTTCAAATCCCCTCCTCAGATGGGATTGCCTTCCAAATTTTAGGGAGGTGGAGCAACATGATGTTTACAATTCCCTATGACAATGCTAGAATATTTGTTTCAATRTATTTGCACTAAGACTTCCAGAAATGTTATTTTGTTTCACTGTTTTCCTACTCAGATCATTTTTCATGATTCCACTGGAATTCTGAACAGCACAGTGTGCTTTCCAAGGAAGATCCCCAGCAAGAATCGGTTCTAATCAGCAAGCTACATGTGTGCCAGATGCCCAGCTCATGGATATTATTTTCAGAAGTACCTGATCTCTTAGAGGAATTCAGCTACTCTACCCTCACCGTCTTCTCCATTCTAGTCCTAAGCTTCTCAGTCAAACTGACTTGAATTCTCATCTCTTCGATGCAACTTGGGTAAAGCAGGGCATTTCCATTAGCACAAGACCAGCTTCTGCAATTTGACACTCTCGCTTCATAACAAGGTCAGATCTCAAGCTCTGCTGTCAGTGAACCGGAGATTTCTGGAGCCATTTATTTCTCCCCACCTCCCACACAAAACTCTTCCACGTTGTTCCTTTCTCTTTCACTGTCTTTTATAATGCTATGCATTCCCCACCAGCCCTGGGTATGCCACTCCAGTRAGCATAATATGAAGGATTCTTACRTTTGCCAGCAACACCTGAATACACCACCCCTGGCTATTGCACAAAATGCTACATTTCTAAAATGCTAGAGGCTACAGACTTGTCATTTGTCATGTATTTCACTTACATTAGTGCATAAAACACAATCAGTTCACTTCAGAGTAACCACATCCAATTTCTAAGGAGTATTAACACTGAGTTTGAAAAATAAAAGCTCATCATAGTCCCCCTATAGTAATAAGTTGTACTTTTTGGGGAATGAGAAACACAGGCGGAAACCAGCCTTTACTGCAACCACAGAGCATCACACAGTAATCCTGGGTACTGTGACTCACTCCAGGCCCACAAGTCCCCACACAGGACACAAACTTGTGCAAGGCATCGCCACATAACTGCTCKGTTACAAGGACAGAGAGGTTTCTTTCAACTTACATCTTTCTGGTTGGAGTGGAAAAACCTGAGTGCAAAATTGCAGGATTGGGATGCAGCAGCAAAATGGCCCAGTGCCTCTGCGTAGCGCGTCAGGAGATAGCTGCAACACAACACAGAGCAAGTCAGTGCGCGCCGCAGCCTCCTGCATGGCTGCAAGGGCACTCTCGCTCCAGAAAYGCAGTACACCTGGGCTTTTACAGAATATCTGGAGATTTAACAGAGGGCATTCACAACAGGTATGTTAAATGGTAATGAAAGGAATTGGTAATATTTTTAAAAATGGGAAACAGGCATGGAGATCCTCCAATCACCTTGTTAACTGTGCAAGAGCTTCACTGGAACAGATACCCACAAATGTTATCAACACATAACAAACTAACCAAGGCCATTTATGTATGGGTTTTACCTAGGGCTCCCAAGCTTTGCTCAGCAGTAATACAAGCCAGAACACCAAGCCAGGACTGGCATGGAGAAACATTTTTCACAGCTTTCTTTCACAAAAAAAAAAAAAAAAAAAAAAAAGATCCCTTGTAGTTAGTGCTCCCAAAGACCAGAACAGATGCTCCACTAGAAACTGAACACACTACAGCAGGTTTGATGCAAGTGTGACTTGCAATTCTAAAACTGAAACACTCTCAAAGTCTAATAATGTTATCTTTGATGAGCAAAGGAAGCAGATCTCGGGGCTGGTTCATGAAGGGTCACTGGGACCAATTATTCTCAGTATATACTACCCACCCGATGGTGTCGTGCTGTATGTGTTTGGCATCAAGGCTGGAATACAGTTCTGCAACAGGTTCAAATGCACCAAGCCTGCAGTAAATTCGGATGAGCAGCAATTTGAACTGAGCATTGGAAGGACTATGAGATAGTCCTTTTTCTAAGAGGGTCAGGCACTGCCACACGGCCGTCTCTTCACCTGGTGACAAGGACAGAAACACAGGCATTATCAGAGGTGCTGAACACGGGCAGCACAACCCACCTGGGCACTGAAGTCTCCTTCCTCACACTAGGCACCTCTTCCAGAACAGCTCCATGTATTCCAACAAGCAGCCTGCGTTCAGCAGCCCCTTTCTGCCCTTACGTGTAACACCCAGTCCAGCATTTCAGCTGCTCTCTACAGAGAGAGGCAGAGGGGAAAAAAACAAACCTCAAAACACCTCTGGTACCGAAAGGGAGTTGGCAGAAGAACTTGTGCAAAGGGAGGGAAAACATCTGCAGAGGAAAGGCAGAGCAAGCTTCTTGAGGACGCAGMATTGAGCTGGAAGAGCTGCCAGCAAATCTCTGCCAGGGCTTCATAGGGATTAGACAGAGGAAAATTAAGTCTCTTTAGGTCAGAGTGAGAAYTGGCTCAGGCATTAACTGATCAGAGGGACTCCTGGAATACCTCATATTGAGACAAACAAAGTTGTGGAACTAGCAAGGCCTGCCAGGTACACACTGGCCACAGGGGCTCAGGCTCCCTACCAGACCCATGCAGGGTGCTATGTTCAGTCTGGACCATGCAACATCCACRCAACTGCCAGAACTCTTCCCCCCAACATATTCATGTCCCATTTATTCCTCTTTGTTTGATTTCTCTATTTTATTCTGTCCCCAAGATCTTTTTGTTTAAGTTAGGAAAGTGAGCCAGAAACCATGCCTTGCTACACAGCCATAAAGAAATACACAAACCACTACTCTTCAAGATAAATAATAAGTAATGAGTACAGATACATTACTCTGTTAAAACTTCAGATAATAAATCKCAAGGGAGAACTACTATTTATAATTCATGGATAAAAATGCATCACAAAAAAAATAGATTTAAGAAAGAAAACAAAAAGGGAAAAATATACATCTAGTTCTGTTCTGGAACAATCAGGCTATAAGAGAGTAACTCTATGGGATCTGGCAGTGACATTTCTTGTCCAAAAAGTAGTCCCATATTTCAGAATAAAGCAGGATTTGGTCATCTTAGTAAGAACAAGTATGAACAAAACAAATCGAAAGACAATTTTAGGGACGTACCTTCCTCTAGCCACAGATCAAGCAGCAAGTGAACTGCAAGCAGGCAGTAATAATCTGAAAATTGCAGTTCAGTTTTCAAACAAGATTTCCCTGGAGGGGGAAAAAAAAAGTCATCCTTGAATTGCAGAGCTAATACATTTCATACAATAGTTCTGTCAGCTGTTTTTTACATTACCAGCTTTATCAAATGATAAACTGTCAGGCAGATGATAATCACAGSTTATTTATAAAAATCAAGAATTTTCTTAAAACTGAAACAGCTGTAAATACACTGTATTTCTTCATTTATTTTGTTTTCAGTTCATTCTGTTTGAAGTGCCAGATGGGCACATTCCACTTTGTCTCAAATTACACTTCCTTGGCTCTTCTGTGCTTGAATTCAGATTCAGAAATGTTAAAATAAAAATCAAAGCTTTGCAAATTGAAATATTTTTTGTGTTAAATAGAAAAAATCTGCTAAAGATTTTGAAATATATACACACACAAATATATTTAGGAGCATAAGTGAATGTGGACTTCATACGTCAACAACAGCTGGGAAAAAAAATATGTTCTCCTACAACTGCAAGAYCCATAAATAAATATAATAGCCCCTACGTTTGTCCTAAGTAGATCGTTAATACAAACTGGTTTTGTTTAAAAGTTCAGGCATTTTTGCCAAGCATACATACGAATGTACTGTTCTGGAACGTCTAGTTGGTCTTCAAAAGAGACAATTAAAAAGAAATTAAAAGGAAACTCACTGGTAACACCAAGGATATTATCACACRAGGGAAGGTAAAGCATTATCTAGCTGAGACACTGGTGCTTTGCACCAGTCGCAACACTGGCCACAAGAACTTGCTTTTTTTCTCCATCCAGAAAAGCTGTTTTCAAAACGCAACAGGAGTTTCTAGACTTTTCTCACCAAACTCCAGTCCATGGCGGTATCTTAACATCAGCTCCCGGATCACAGACAGCTTCTCTTTCTTCTCCATGGCATGGTAGAGACCAAGCAACCTGGAGAGCTGCACCACGCACAGGTGCTGCTGCAGGGCTCGGATGTCCTCTGGCAGAGCAGTTCCACCCTCTGCTGCTGCTGACAGAGGGATCACTTCCAGCAAGTGGCCAATGAACTGGGAGAGAAACATCAGGGATAAGTTCTTCAAGGCATTGGGGGCTGCCTGAACAAAAAGCACCCTTTCCTCCCTCAAATCAAGGAAGAAGGAGGTGATAGCATAAATGTCAGTGTGCAAGTCCCATGGAAATCAGAAGTTAAAGATTTTGCTGCATTTTTTTGACAAAAGCAGTCAGCACGTAGTATGAGTTTAGCTCAACAGCTTTTAGAAAACAAACAGAATGAGGAAAAGAAACCTCACAACAATGGCCAGGGAAAAGTTTCCAATACATTGACACACCAGGGACTTAAGCACCTGTTAACAGAGTAGTAACACCCACAATTAAAATAATTAGGTACTGAAAAGCTTAAGAGCACACTTAAAGTAAACTAGAGTTTGTCCAAGTTATTGCATTTGCTCTCAGTCCTGAAGCAATGTGTTGAACCCACTGAGGTCATCACCTTTGAGTCATTACTTAACTCAAGAAACAAGTCATAAGAAGAAAAGCAGCCTCTCGCTGTTTACAGTTCCATGAGGCACCAGCAAACTTGTCACAACACAGCCAGGACCACATGGAGGTTTATTGCTGCCCTAAGATTCAACCCAGTTTACCAACACTAAAACCAAGGTAACAAAGCCGACTGCACCAAATGCACACCCTAGAAAAACAAAAAAATACCCAAGGGAACACAAAAGCTAGGTAAGAGCTCTACACAAAATCAACCCTGCTAAGAAGTCAAGTCTGAAAAATCTGCATGTGTCTAATGCTTSAAAGTGCCATAACCCATGATGGGCAGTCCGGGCAATAAAGCCCATTTCACTGCACCAACCTTGTCCTGTTTTCTCATAGCCTTGCCCCAAACCAGTAAATATCCCATGCAGTGAGGAGCTCTGCATCAAGACAACCCTCCACAATTCTGCTCCCACTTTTCTCTCCTGTATGTTTCGCAGTGATATTCACAACAAGAGTCCTCACTGAGACATATACAAGTGTTTCTGAACAGCCTGACTTGCTTTAGAGTTCATAGATCCTAAGCAAACAGTAATAAGAAGAGATTTGACTTGACTTCATCCCACCTGCTGTGGGCAGCTGCAAAGGAAGAATAYGACTGCTCTGTTACACAGAGGACTTCAACATCTGTTGCTGTGCAACACAAATCCATCCAAGCTAACCTAAAAATATTTCCCTTGAGAAGTTAAAAGACCTGCAGAAAGCTTTAGCAAATACATTTTTTCCTCAATAGATCCAGCAGAGCTGTCTAGGMTGTGAATTAAGAAGAGTAATGGTGAAAGAAGACTCAGTTCTTGCCTGCCACCCCTTTTATAAAGCAATTCTGCAGATTTATCATAATTCAAACCTCTACACGTGTTCTTAAACATTYCATCTGAATTCTTTTTATTGCTTTGCTTAGCACTTACAGTTACTGCAATGCTCCCATATGCTGAAATTAATTTAAAGCACAGACAAACACCACATTCATCTGCTCTTTAACACTCCTAACCCTCTTGAGCCACATCAAGCTGCAGGTGCTACTGAGACACAAGAGCCAGAAGACAGTCACATGCTGGAAAGGCCTTCTGATACCATGTCGACAGGCAACAAAATGAAACACTAAGTCAGGACCAATTTCAAGACCGGACAGACAGTTTTACAGAATTTATTTAAAATGAGCCTTTTTACAAGCACAGGGAAACACCTGTTGCCTGAAATATTGACATTAAACAAAATTTCTCCCAGATCAAGAACTTATTTCTGGGAAAGGTAGAACTAAACTGCTTCAGTACTTCAGGACTTATGGGTTACTGTAAGATATATGCAAATAACACCATTTCCACACATCTGCGTTAAATATTCCACTGATCACACCTGCTGCCAGCAGGGAAAGAACATGCCTTTCAACTAAGAACAGCAGCAGCAAACCATATGTGCAAGAGCCCCCACTGTGGTTAGCGAGGCTGCAGGAAGAGCTTGCACTAGGCACTAGGGGAATATTCCTTTTTTTTTTGAACAAAGAGAACAACACTCTCTATAGTTTGCTCACACGTTTCATCAACGGCCCCTGTCTGATCCAACATTCTGTCTAGCCCAACCCAGCTCTGATATTTGACACAATGGTTGGGAAAAACAAAGGGTGAGTGACAGGATTCCCAGCTGCTGAAGTCATTCACCAAGCTGCTCATGACTCTGCACAAACAGTCCTTTCACTCGGAGAGAGCCTGTTTTGGGGAGAGGGTCTGGGAAGTTACAGTTGGTCCCTTGGTCACCTCTTGATCAATCCATTTTTCAGTGCTGCAGCAGAGAAACTGCTCAAAGAAACCTGAYGCCTTGAAATGGCAATAAAAAGGCCAACCAAATCCTGCACCTGTCTCTGAGACTTCGCAAGATCAAACGTACAAAAGCCTCCAGTAAAACCCCTCAATGCAATTACTCACATATTTCAGATATGTTTTCTCCTCCAAGTTTTCAAAGTTTCTAATAAGGTCATATTTGCAGCTTTTTGATATAACCACCAGATGCTTTAAGCAGAAGGCACCAGTCTATGAAAAAGCTTTGCAGTTCTTCCCACTATTCCTTCTCTTTCCTTACCTTTGTATATTGGCTGGATGGGAGGAGATCCACAAATACCTTGAGATCAGTAAAACAGCAGGGCTTGTCCCCAAATTTTTTGAAGTATTGGAACATTAATTCTTCTGGATCACCTATCAAAAAGACCAGTTGATTTTTAAATGCTCCATTCAAACCTTAGCCTGTAAAATCACCATGAGAAGTCTTCAGTAATGCATTTTGCTTTGATATTACAGTGATTTACAAAGTGGATAGCCACACTACTGCAGAATCCAATAGGGAGTCAGCGCCTTTGGTAACCAAGGACACTCTGGTAAGAAAAAACAACTCTCGAGAGCTTCATTCAAGCTACTTTAGCAGATAAGAACTCTGCAAAACAGGCATGCACACACAGTCTCTGCTTATCTAATAGCAATTTATTTTGGGATGCAAGTATGAAAGGAACTAGTATGCTGCAAAGGTTCTATTCATATTCTCTCTATTCATATTCTCTCCTTCACTGACTCCCCAAATGTGACTTTTAAATGTGCGAGTTTTTCCAAAATGAATCCTGGGATTACCGATAAAAAATTTCAAAGGAAAATTTACCCCGAGATTACAGYAAAACAGCAAGACTGACTTTCCACACAAGTAGTGCATCAGCAACGCACTTTTCATTGCCAACTCACTGGCTCTGTGCTCCCACATTCAGTAAGTTCTTTTGAAACTTTCTTTTCCAAGCTCTGGAGCAGTTACTTGCCTTTCCTMGGCGTGGTGTTTCTAACACTTAGAGAGTTCCTTTTACACCAAACTGCATGTATTTTCATACCAGGAATTGGTCAACCGAGTTAAATAAAAAAACCTTTTGTAAGGTTGTATTCTTTCCCTAAAATACTGTCCTCATCCTATGTGTGGTCTTACCCAGTTTATGTTCATCATTACAACCTCTGTGTCGCAAACGTCTTATCAGCTCCAGTTTAGCTAAATATGGTCCCCGAAGTGGCCGAGAGCTCTTTGATTCTTCTGTTATTCTCTCTTCTATAAATTTCACAGCTTGCTCTATAGAATAGTGTACCTCTCCTTCCARAGAGCTGTGCAATGAGAGAGAGAAAAAAAGTCTTTGACTTTTCCTATTCCTAAGGCAACATATATTGACAACATATATTTTACATTCCCATATTCCCAAAGTGCTCTTAAGAAGTCTGGCTCAATTCTTTTCCCCAGTCACTGAAAAGTATCATCTGGAATAGCTCTACAGTGTCTAAATCAGTATTTATACAGTGGTTTCCAGCAGGCTACTGGCAGCCTCCAAAATGAAATAGGAAGAACACATCATTTGGGGCCTGATGTCAGGAAGTCATCCAAAAACGCAGACAACATTGCATCAAATATGTGAAGGTAAACATATTTTTCTGTTTGTTTTTAAGCATAAAGGAAGGACAAGCTCTCCACAAAACAGCTGACTTACTGCTCTTCTTCAAGCGGCGGCGTCCAAGATTCATCAATGAGTTGGAACACAGAATCAAAGTAAGTAATATAAAACTGCCAATCATCTGAGCTAAAGCAAAAACAAGGCATGGAACAAAGTTTAGGGAGTGCTAATATAGTAAATCATTCATAAAATTGCATTAAAAAAGGAATAGCACATATAAAGATTACAGAAAAAAATGCCATCACAATCATTTTCCTGTGAGATATCGTCACATTATAAATTTAGAGTGTTACAGACAGGACTTCCTAAGATTGTTTTTTCTTTTTGTCTAGAATTAAGGCACAGGTAAACAAAAAATAAAAACAATAGTTCTATGTGCTCCTTTCTCATGTGTTCAGTAGTTCCTTTCAATAGTTTCATGATACAGTTCTGATCATACTGGTATGTTCTGTTCAGGTTCATCTGTTCAGATCATTAGATGCAAGCCCTAGAAGTCTGGCAAACCAGAGAAACAGATTTCAAGGGAATTCAATGTAAAGGCAATTCACAACTCCCACCCAAAGAATTGTGGCAGGTCAGCCAGAATAGCCTTTAAAAATAGGGAGGGAAACAGCATGTTGCTTGAACATGTCACTAAAAGTCAGCAGACATTCAAAGACAAGAAACTACAGTCATGACACTGACTCTCTGTGTGACTGTCACCATGTCCTCACCTTTACACAATTCTTTTTGCCTTTTCCCTCGGGCTTTGGAGTATAAATGCTTGGAAGTGCTTTGAAAACTACAGGTGTTATTCTACCCAGAATTCCTCCCTCATTCCTTTCAGTAGGATTGCAGAAATCTCTACTCACTTTTTCAGCAGCAGCCTTCTAGACAGCGCGTTGCACTCGGGCCACCTACGCAGCTTCTTGTACATGGCCATGCACTTGTTCTCTCGGCTTTGGAGCTCACTTGTCAGTTTCTCTAAATTAAAACAGAAGTGYGATTTTATTTAAACCACTGATTTCTTTCAATTTCTGAATAAAGCATCTTATAGCCAAGGGTGCAAAGCAGTAAATGTTAAGACAGTAAAAGAGAGGCACTCAATGGAAAGGCTAGAACCAGTACTAAAAATATTGCTAGATTTAATGATAAATCCATAACATTTTAACATCCTGCATATTGCAGAACAACAGTGCTAGAAACTAAGGTTTTGGCCAATACACAGCTGGAGAATCAGCATTTAACTGTACTGAGGCTTGCTATCTTATTACATATAGCAACACTAGAAACATTTTCACAGATTAGTGCTTATTTTTGATCAAGGAAGAAATGCAGACACAGAATGAGTACAGGAAAAAAAATAGCCGTCCGCCTAGTACTTGTGGAAAGTAGGAAAGCTACAAACACCAAACTAAATCCACTGTTCTCTTCAGAAGAAAATCTGCATTTTCTCTGAAAATTCTTCTCTTTAAAGACTGGGTTGACTGTACGGAATCCTACAGAAATCATTTCTATAGAAGCTGCTGTTCTTCCACACAGCTGTAACTATGAACAGAATAAGTTACCTCCTAGTTTTCCTCTTACAACATCTAAGGCTTCCCGATACTTCTCCAAACGTTCCAGAATCATGTAGTAAAGTTCAACCTTAAAAGAAAGATTAGATGGCAATGAAATTTGTGAGTAAAACTATATAAAAGAGCACCAAGAAATAAAGTGCCTCATGCTACAGCCATTAGAAACAGGAGAAAGCTAGGACTGCATAGCTATCTTTAGCCTCCAGCAGGATACAACATTCAAGAATCTAGGTCTTTTTTCCCATTCTCAGTCCTGAAGTTTCTCTTGGGGCCTTTCAGGGAGCAAAATTAAGCACTTCACCAGTCAAATCTAACACCAGAAGATTTCCTTGGTTATGCTCTGGCAAATCCCTCTCAATCCCTCTGTTCTCAGTTTTCCTTTGGCCTCATTCCATTCACATTTACTTTCAGAACACTACTTACTTTAACAGATACCAAACAAAAACTAATAATAAATAATGATAAAGCCATAACATATGCAAACATGTTCATATATATCTCATATAGCATACGCAAACATGTTCATATATATCTCATATAGCATACAGACATTCTATATCCACACATAAAACTAATACCCCAGACAGTACTCAATTTCCTTTAACACTACATTTTTTCTATCAATAACATTCAAGTCAAATAGAAAATATCTGCAAGTCTTACTTCAGCTTCAGCTTCAATCTTATCCTCTTTCACCATTTTTTCCACCATTCTTTCAGCTAGGGGCAAAAACATTGTCTTTGAGAGGTTTTCATCCTGTGCTGAAATAGACTAAGGAAAAGAAGAATTATTCTAACAGCTCATCAAATTCACGTTGTCCCACTCATTGCTTTTTTTCCCCCCATAAGAAGGGAAAACAAAACTTCTCYACTTTCCCCAAGCCATGCATCTAGAGAGGACATCTGCCATGTGCAGAAAATGACTGCTCTGTTATAYAGGCAGCAATAAAACTAGTAATAAGCAGAGATGCTCACTCCTGATTCAATTATCCAAAAACTAACAAAACTCAGCACGTAGCACATTGTAAGAACGAGTCTGCATTTTCTACAGTCCAGTACCGAGATGTAATTAAAATGATGAGATTAATGCCTCCATGCTTGCTCTTTCGTTGACCAATATTTTGTCAGGCAGTTTGATGAATGCTTAAAATTTCTCAGCTAACAGCTATGCTCATCTGCAGTGCTAGATAGGACAGTTCTGTAGTCTAAAAAAAATGCTAAGTTCAGAGTTACTGTTTTTTTCTTTTCCCCTCTCCTTTTAGAACCTTTATAATTTAGTTATAGAGAAAAATCAGTTCTGAGTGAAGGAGCTGCAGATATTATTTGAGAAGAAAAAACAACAAATAAAACAGCACTTATTTTCTAGCTCTTCAGCTAAATTGAAATAAATAGAGAGTAGGTTACCAATACAGATCGGATGCTAACAAACRTGATAAGGCAGACTGGTTAAACTGCATTTAAAGAAAGTCCTGGACTTATTTGCAACACTGTACATACCTGCATAATCAAGCTCATCACAGACCAAAAATAATAAGGATTTTTGGGTACAATTTTATAAAGTGCCATTCCAGCCTGAAAAATACAAGACAAAAACTCATCATTCCAAAACCACATTTGCTTGAGCTTTCACAGCAGAGATTACAAACTAAACAGCAGTAAGAGCCATAAACAACTTGAAATCAGCAACTATGGGCAACTAATCAACCTTTGAGCCTTTCCATTCTAACATATATTGCTGAAGAAGAAAACTATTCAATACTTTCAAGTTTGAAGAGTGGGTTTAAGGGCTATTTATTTAAAAAAAAACAGCTAGACAATATAGCAAGCAAGAATAATCCATGGCCTTCTCCATTAGGCTCTAAGTCTGTGTTGACATATATACGATGCTGTTAATGACAGTCTACTAATTTGATGTTACCTCATAACTAGTGAAATGCCACAATCTATTAAGAGAAGGGTGTAAGATGCAGTCATCAAGACTGTAGATTTAGGCTTCTTTTTTAGATAAYAACTTAGATAAGTAATACCCAAAAGCAGCTCTTAGCTGGCTAATTTAGGACCAAACTTCAGATCAGATATACAGCAATATTGCATATTTTCAACTTTTTAATAAACCTACGTGAAATTGAACAAGGTGACAAGCTTTACGTATATCAGTAACTTTGCCTCCATCCACAGTTTGAACTAAAGCAGTTTACAAGTTGAGCTAGAACGAAGAATAAMACGCTGCTCAATATATTCATTCAGCTACTTAGGCCAAATTTGGAAAAAAAAAAAAAAAAACCCTAACTCCAGTCACCTTTACACAGCGGGATTGAGTGGAGTTTAGAACTTATTTTCTTGGCTCTGTGGGCTTTTTTTTTTTTTTTAAATACTTAAGAGGGAGTGTGCATGCTTTGCAAAGAATCTTCCATTTATAGGCATTCTCTAGGCACCTAATTTGGAAAGGATGGAAACAGCACTAAACCAGCAACATACTGCACTGCCAACTGAAAAGTAAGACCTACTTAGAAGTGCTTTTACTTTTTCCTCTACTGAATTACAACCTATGCAAGCCTAACTATATGTTAAATCTCAGCAATAAGAGCTTGGGCAGGATTACTCTTTTCTTCTTAAAGAAAGACAGTAAATTACGAAATACCAAGTTTGAAAACGTGGACCAGGAGATCTTGCTAAATCGTTTCACATAGTCCCTTATCATGCACTGCCTCATAAGTAAACACTAGTTATTGCTCAATGCAGACCAACAGAAAGCTCGCAGCCCAAAATAACCGACATACCCTATCAGTTAAGACAGRCACACAGAAGACACTGTCATTGTTGCTCGAGTAAGAAAAAGGAAACACTTGTCTTCATATATTCCACCTCGAAGTGGTCTTTTTAGGCAATATCATTGTATCTCATGAAATATAAATACAGAAGATATAAAAACAGAATCCAAGTGACTCCTAAAAATGACCAGAACACAAAGTGATGATTGTACCTGTTGCATCTTCTTGTATTCTCCCACCCTGGCATAGGCCATGAAGAGATGAGAGTGATACTCCTCACTGTTGGGAACCTTCTTTACAGCTGCCTCATACAGCTTAGTTACCAGCTCCGCTAAACCAAAAGTAGATGCTCAGGTTAAGACGCATTTGTGATAAAGTTTAAAAAACAGCTACTTCAAGATGACATCAGGGACATTCTGAAGAGTAATCAAATGAGGCTCATCCACCACAGAAATAGTGCTCCTCTCCCAGGAGCCGAGTGCTATGAACAGTAGTCAAAGGAAGAATGTGTTTCAAGTAACATCCAGAATTATCAGCAGCAACTGAATGCTCAGATTCTAAGTCTGCTTCAGCAAATTTATCTCTTTTGGATCATTAAGATGACTCAAGATTCGTACTCACGCCAGACTACATGAATTGTGTATCAAAACACAGAATATTTTCAGAGCCCAATATCAAATCAGTTGTTCTTACCACAAGTTTGTCTATGTTACACATATCCTATTATTTCCCAATTGTCTATTTGAATATTCTTAAACAAAATAGTTTATAGAATATCAATATAGGTCTTTCCTAAATATTATACTATTGATATGCAAAATTTATCTTTCCCCTTCAAGAAAATAGATTTTTCCCTTGCACACAAAATTATATTCCAGTATAGTATTAAAAACTAAATTTTCTTTCCTGATTTTAGCATAATCCATGCATCTCCAACACTCACATATAAGATAATTGATTAGATGTTTTAAGACCCAAAGMGGAAGTGACTAACATCTACTCTTTCCTTTCTGAGGTATACACCTACAAGTCTTAAATCCAGTATTTAAACAAATTGTTTGGAATAAAAACATCCATAATTACACACAAGTATATAGAAAGAAATCAACTGGGATATATGTAATTGATACATGTATTGATACATATCAATAAATGGTGCAGATCAATTCCAGACACCATTCCTACAAAAGTGGTTTTATCCCATTGTGATTTTCTGCTGTAGTTCAACAGTGAACACTGCTGAACCACAAGTTGCCAGAAACAACTGTTTTGAGCTATAGATAAACAGTATAAGGTCAGCTTTCTTTCAGAAAAGCACAAWTTCACTTGATCACTTCAATATTCACAATTTACTATGCTTTAAATATTCCATCACAACAACGAACCATATCTTGAAAAGATAACCCAGGCAAGTGACAGGCAAGGAGTTTCCTTCCACTCCTAACACAGCCTCTCAGGGCCTGCACTCAGGCAATATGAAGTGCCTACTAAAACACACTGTGTATGATCTTTATCATATAGTCTATATCATATATTCTAACAGCTTCCAAGAACTTTCCTTTAAAAAGTAGAAATTCTTAGCTGACCATGATGGATGATTAATATATCACTCATTTAAACACTATGTACTCAATAGGGTTAAYGAGAAGAAACCAAAACAAAACACTTTGCTTTAAAGCTCTAAATCTAGAGCTTTATCCAAGAGGAATGTATAACAGGTGTTAAACAAAGCATTTAAATTCACTAACTCTCAAAATAATATGCTTATACTCTAGACTTGGCACTTCATAATAATATGCTTATACTCTAGGCTTGGCACTCCCCTGTAAAAACTGCCCCCATGTCCTTTTGTTTTTTCCTCCCCTGCACCAAAAATCTAGAGATGATGTACACTTTTAAAATAATATAATTCAGGTTTTTAAGCAAGGACAAGGCGGGGGAAAAAAACTAGTAAACTTACGTCTATGCATTTCCCGGTAAAGAATAGTTAGTGCTTGCAAGGAATTGTCATCTGTGGGTTCAAGTGCTGCTACTTCTTGTGCCAGAGTATACGCTTCATCTTGCTTCCCTGTTCTCTGCAAGCCAATTGCTTTGAGAACCTGTTGATAAAACACAGAAGCAGCTGTTAGAAACACACTTGGCAGTTACCAGGAAAAATCCTTTCATTCTTGGTGAAGAGGTTTGCCTGTGCACCTAATCACTTCTGCAAAACTTCAGTTTTTAATAAATTTCTAATCCACACGGCTGTGGAGAAAAACTTCCAGCTGTGAGCTGGATCAAGTGCAGTGACTTTGCACCTCTAACACACACAGGCCACTCTAGGCCAGYGGCTGCCACTCAGTTTTTCCTGCCTGAAAACTGGCCAGTCCTACCAATTTGCTTTCTTCTAATAACTAGCCAGGCAAAAGTGGCATAAATGAGATTCAGGTCAATGATACTCACTTCAACTTGGGAAATGTCCAACAACTAGAAGCTGTATGAAGCAGAAAGGAAAAAAAAAACACAGGGGGAAAAGAGAAGAGCAGAAATACACTCTAAATCCAGAAAATTGAAAAAAGCAGGAGCACAAGGAGAACAACGAAAAAGTGGTTGAAAGCAAATGCCTCAAAAATCACTTTGTTGCATTTTAGAGGGAATGCACTTTTAAAGTAAATGTTTCCATCTAAATTGATTATCTAGGTTGCTTTTATGACCTAGACAACTTGTCTAGAACAAGCATGTACCTCAGCCTCAACCTAAAGCATAAGGCAGGCGTTTTGAAGGCAGAACTTATCTGCCACACTTGCCTAAAGCGGCTGCGACAGATCACCAGCTCAGACAGCCACTTACACTTTAGTCATCAGAGGTTACTCACTCCAAGCACCTCTACAGGGTTTCAGGCAAACAAGAAACTGTGATTCAGAGCCGTCAGCAAYGCTCCTGGAGCTTAGGAAGCACCGTGACACACCCCAAATCTCAGAGCCACGCTCGCCAAGCGAGATAGTCAACAGCAGTCATGCTTACCTTTGCACAGTGAAGATCCTTGTGTTTTTTGAGCAATTTATCTGCCTGCTGGATTGCCATTTTATTATTGCCATTGTCAAGATAATCTGTATAAGAAGAACATATACAGTTTTATATTAGAATATAAGACTGTTCTGGAGCACTACCTCCAATTTTATTGTGAAGTAGGCATTGTTATGTCAGCAGTACAAAACACATTTTACAATTACTACCCAACCAAATGTTCAGGAAACATGCCATTTTGTAGACTAAGTATTCCTCTCACTGTATTTAGTTTTAGTCTTTCGAACAAATAAGCTTTTGTAATCACTCCACAGAGCATTACGGCAACAAAAGAGCTATATAACATAGGGGGTTCTCTAGCAATAGCTCTTTGCTAGCAATGGAGTTTACACTCTCTGCTTTAGTAAGAGCACATATTAATTAATTTGCTGTGCCTTTGGGAGACTTCCAGTGACTTTTAACAGGCAGTAGTTTAAAAACTGGGCACCCAACCTATCAAAGCATTTAGTGTCTTGTCCACATGACACACACTTCAGGCAGAATTCTCTAATGGAATTATCAGCATGCTTTATGCAGACTAGTTTTAAAGGCGAAAAAAGAAAAAGAAAAAAAAAAAAAAAGTAGTGAAGTTCTCAAACTTTCTAGGAACATATTGCACTATCTAGGAAAAACTCCAGCTGCAGAAAAACGCCACCTCAAAACCATTTTCTCCTCTCTTCAGCTTTCTATTATTATTTACAGTTTTACCTGCAAAGCATGATCACAATATTGCACAACAATGGGTATCAAATCAGTCAAGCAATTTTAGATTGGAACACAACTCCATACCCCTCCTCTTCCTCAAAGATTAGTAACTAGCAGAGCAGCTAGTTTACAAACAAGCTTAGCTACACCTGACATACCAAAAAGGAACAGCCTAATTGCGAACAGAGCTAATGATAGTTATCCAAAATTATGTTATGCATCTCCAAGAAGAAAGTTCTCCTGGCGAGAGGGAACCCTTCACTGAGTTGAGAGGCCACAGACCGTGGTACAAAGCACATCTCTGCATCAAGGACTCTTCTTCCAGCAGCTTTAACGCTTGCACATTTGAAATAAAGCAAATGGGACTAGTGGGATGGTTCTAACTATACCTCAAGGAGACAACCTGCCCACAGTAACCAAAACACTGCTGGATAAAACATGCAGACCCTYTGAAGCAGCAGTACATTGTCTTTGCATGGACCGTTTTAACTTACAAAACTCTGTGAATCACCTTTAATGTTAAAACTTAAGCATAGGCTTGGCATTGAACAATACTTTAAAGAAAAAAAAATCAAAAAGCAAACACAGTGAYGATCTCTGGCGAAGCTTCCTTGATTTAAGGATCTGTGCTGCACACTTCACGCTGACACAAATCGTCTTCCAGCCTTTGCCGGCTGCCTTGGAGTTGGTTTTACAACTAGCTGCACCGATAAGATCTCYGCTTTAGGTCTTCTAAAGTAAATCAAACAAACCACAAGCCTCTCCAAACTGCAGAAGACTAAAAAGACAGTATTTCACTAAAAACGAACGTGCCTGTTGGAAGCTGAAGTAGCTGGCAAGTCTCAAAGGAATTTAAGAAAAATAGCGAAGTCTATACAAGTAGAACATCTGTAGATGGAGATATGGAAACACTAGGTGTTACTCCTCAGAGAAATCACAATGAATTAAGATGAAAGATAAACATACCCGACCAAGAACCCCAGGGAATCAAAGCTCAAGGTGCAAGCTGAAAAGCATCATTTTAAATGAAATAATCAGACCCTTACCCTCATGCTGCACACATCCAATTTATGACTTTTGTAAAGTCAAACATTTTTTATCTTCAAAAATACATACTTATTCAGGGTCCYGCATCACCAAGAGTTGAACTCAAAACATTGCACTGCAGATGATGCTTTCTGCAAGTAGCAGAAAGTTTTTGAGTTTTAGCTATTTATCTCACCAGTGGCTACGCCCTCCAAATTAAGGTGCCCAAACACACCTCAACATCACCTGGTTTCATCTTGGTTACCTTTTCCAGGCCTTTTTCTCCCCAAAAAYGGACACTGAAGAAGTTACACAAATCATAACGCAAACAACTATGTCAATAAAACGCCAATATAAAAAAAAAAATAAACAAAAAAACAACAGAATAAACCCTAAGATCGCTGCTGGCAGGTGAGGTGCCCAGCTGCGGCGGCAGTTACATAAGGGACATTCCCTTGAGCACGGCTGCAGATTCCCGCTCTTCCCGCGCGCAACCCGCAGGCCCGGCAGCGGCCAGGGCACTTCCGAAGGGATTCCTTTACCCCTTTCCTCCCTCATTTTGGGGAAAAAAGGCACAAAGTTGAGGACGTCTCCCCGACACCTCTACCCATTTCCCCCTCCCGAAGCCGAGGTGCTGCCGCGGCTTTTCGGCCCCTCTTTCCTGCGCGGTTTTTGCCTCACGGCACCCAGAGGCGGCGGCGCCTCCGCTCCTGGAGGGCGCGAGGGGACGACAAGGGTCCGACCAGCCGCCCTTGCCCGCCGGAGAGGAGCCGTGGAGGGAGGAGGAGCGCGGCGAGGCGCCGCCAGGCCCGCGGCCAGACGGCGGCAGGGAGGGAGCCGCGGCCTCGCGCTGCCGCCGCCGCCGCCTCGGAGGGGCCGCCGGGCCCCGCTGCCGGGGCGGAGGCGGCCGGGGCCGCCGCCGGGTCCGTACCGTAGATGGGCCGCAGGCGCCGGTCGTTGGGGTCCTGCACATGGCCCCGCGCCGCCATGATGAGAGCGCAGAACCGCAGTGCGCAGCCGCCGGCCGGGGCCGGGGCCGGCCCGGGGGCGGGGGGAACGAGGCCGCGCCGCCCGCCTAGCCCCGCGCCGCTTCCTCCTCCTCCTCCTCTTCCTCCGTGCCCCCGCTATCGCCTCAGACATGTCGCGATATCGCGCGCGCCGTCACCGCGGGGGAGGGAGGAGGCGGCCGGGCGCAGCGCCTCGCCTCAGACTTTCCCGCCTTTCTTGTCCCGGCCTGTGGCGACCGGCCCGTGCCCGCGTAGCGGCCTGTGGCGACGGCGCCTCCCGATCAGAAATCGCTGTGGGAGAAGGGAAAGGGCGAAGGGAGAGATCAGCTGGGCGAGGGAATGTCTGGAGAGGGGAAGGAGCCGTGCGGAAGCTAAAGCTCTGCGCTGGGTTCAGCAGCTCCAGGTGGATCTGAGTGCTCCGAAAAGCCACTTTCTAATGATCTCAAACTAAGTGCTGCGTTATATATATTTTTACCTACCCCTCATAATTTTCTATAAATCGCAAGAATTATATATAGTTACCATGTTCTGATCTTTATATGTACAGGTGTTCCCTTGCAAAGTGAACACAGTAGGGACCCTTTCTGCTCCGTCTCACTGAAGACAGCTAAAAGGATTTAACTGGTTTAAACGCACACATCCAATGCTCTTCTTGAGAATTAAGGCTTGTGCCTTAAGGTTAGTKTATGCAGAATGCATTTTCTGCTGCCTTTTGGCTGACAAAATGGGGTGATTTCTGTAAGTGGTTGTAGGAAACCACCAAGGACATTTGAAAGCGGCCGCCCTGCTACCGAGCACAGGGATCTTGGAGAGCCAGGAGCAGGAATGCGGATCTATCCAACCAAACACAAATCCTGCTCGAAAAGAAGCACGAGAAGTGTTTATAGCCAAATAAACTCAGTAATGCCCTGCCCCAGTAAGCAGAACAAGCCGCATCAGACCTAGATGGTTTCCGGGCATGCTCAATAAGTGGATGGTAGCACTTTTCCCATCAAAAAGTCAGCAATTCATAACAGGTATCATGGATACATTTTGCTTTAGTAGGAACCTGGAGTAATAATTTAATACTCTGTTGCAAGCTGTGCCTAGCTAATGCTTGCAGAAGAGAGACAGTAGACATTGACATTCACTGGATCTGAAAAAAAAAAAATATATATATATATAACATTCCATTATTTGGATTATAATTAGGGTCCATAACTTAAACTCTGTAGCCGTTACATCTTATATCTGCCAGCATCTTGAACATCATGTATATGTGTCCTTTCACTTAAGGAAAGAGAAGGATAAAGACTGAAAGCATCTATCAGGTCAACCTTTTCCCTCCCTGCAACTTTGGTTGATAACTGAGTACTGATTTGGATACTCTGTAGACATCTGTGTTGATTTGGCAATCCTTGTGGGTGCAAATATATATATATATATATTATTAGCTTTGTATATGTGACCAGATATGGATGAGTGTAGTAGCAGTATGCAAATGGATCTTCTGCCATTGCTCGGTTATATTTAATATTCGATCTTTAATTACTTCAAGTAAAAATCATAGCATGTGCCTTCCAAGAAGCTATCGTTTCTGTGCAAGGTTGTAGCTGCAATGACTATCTGCTCCCTTTTCCCTAGGAACTGTTTGTTCCAGAGGAGCTGACTCCCTTTCCTCCTACTCGTTACAGCGATGCGGCTCCGTTCCTTGGTGAGCTCAGCATTTGTTTTGGCTTTCAGAAAGAGCAAGGTGAGACATTACACAGGAAATAATTCCTGGGCCTGGCTTAGCCCTACTGTAGCTTGACTTGTGTCTGCTTGTTAGCAATGGAATTGGTGCAGTACTTTATCTACCCATGGGCTGCACCCTTCCTTCATGCACCAAGTGCCTACAAGTCCTCACTCCTCCAGCAGAGCCCTTGTTACAAATACATTGCCTTGGTTTAGCTTGTGAGGAAATGGAAAAACTGCCTTATTTTTCTCTTGTTTGCTTGGAATTTTAAGAACTATTTTTTTATCAGAATTTCAGTTTCACTGAGAGGTCCAACTTTAACCCATAAGTGATGAAGAATGTGGGAGAAAGTGATGCTCCAAATGCTTCCCAACATTCCTTCTTGCTAATTTCTAACATAATTAATAGAGAAATTCACTCTTTAGTCTACAAAAGACTGGTAATCAGAAGTCAAACATCACAAATCAGCTAATTAGAAACACCTCTCCCTGAGCATCTTCCTATCTAGGGACCTTTTAGTAAAGTCTGTGGTACAGAATGGCTGACGTAATTTTGAGAAAAGAGCTTTTTTTGTGTATGTTGGGGGGCAGATCACAAACCAGACAAAAGGCTGTCCTGGGTTCCTTTATTGCAAAGCTGTACAGAGCCCTGGTGACCTTCTTGCCCAGAACGAGCCTGCTCAGGTGAATGCTGCAGCTGACGCAGAGGAAACCCGTCTGTGGTTGCACTTGCTTGGAGAAGCTGGTTTCCTTTTAGCAGATTACACAATTAGCAACATTYGTTAACAATCTCTTTAAAGTTGAGTTTGACCAGAGGTTGCTTCTCTTACAGGAGGTTAAGTGCTGCATGCAGGGTGGCTCCCACATTACTCCTTTCCTCCAAGCTCTGCTGTGTCTTTCCTGGCCTCCTAAAATCCCATGCCAAAAGTGTCCATCATCCTCCAGGACTACACTGTGCTCAGCTCTGTAATCTGCTACACAATTCCTGCTTGGTTAGTGCAGTTTTCCTGAAGTATGGCATGAAGGACATCCAGGAACCTAACTCCCCTTGCTTGACATTCACTCCTGGAGCCCGTCACAGTCCTAGGATTTGGTGAAACACCCCCAGAAAGCATCTCACSCTGTTCAGGTGCATGGCCAGTGGCAAAGCACACAGCTTGGTAGCTTTAGSTCAAGGACAAGCTCTTCACAAAGGTGCTGAGGGAGAATAACCTTTGGGAGAACCACTACCACACAAGGAGCTGGGGTTTAGCCCAACAAGGTGAAAGCCAAAATGGAGAGGAGGCCTGGTGAACCCTCAGCAAGCACAGAGAAAGGAGAGCCATCCCTGGGGACACCCRAGGAGAGGACAGCACAGGAGCGGTGTCCCCATCACCCTCAGCCACCCTCATCCCCTCACAGCCCCAAGCCCGACCAGGCCGCGAGAGGCGGGACCCRCGTTCAAATACCGCGGGGGGCGGGGCTACCAGACCAATGACGTCTGCGCCAGCCAATTCACGTCAGGAGGAGGCGGGGCCACTTTGAGCAGTGAGTGGCAACCGCTGGGGCTAATCAGCACGCGTCACGGCGCGGCGCTGGCCAATGGGGAGGCGGAGGGCGGGCGCGGCGGGGCCGGTAGGAAGCGCGGGGAGGATTAAGGCCCGGTGTTCGGTTCCCGAGGAGCCGGTGAGTGCCGCCCGGGAAGGGGGGGTTGTAGGTGGGAAAGTGACCCAACCGTTGTCGGGGAGGGGGCGATTCCCCCCGGAACGGTGGCCCTAATCCCCCCCTTTATGTCTGAGGGGGAGAGCATGTCCTTAACCGCCCCCCCCTCGCGAATGTGTGAGGGAAAAGGGGTACCCCCCAAACGTCTGAGGGGAAAAGGGCCCCCCCCGCCCCAAAATCACTGTGGGAAAGATGGTGCCTCCTCCCCCAATGCCTGCCCCCCGTAGCTGAGGGGAAGGGGTGACCCCTAATGAGATGCAGCTGCCCCCAGACCTTCATCTTTGTGGGGAAGGGGGTGTCCATCCAACAGCCCCCCTGCCCCCRCAGGCCTCCTCCTGCTTTGACGGTAAAGGGGGTCCCCATCCCTGTGCCCCCCTGCCCTGGGCGTTAGACTCSGGTTGTGCCCCCTCCTTCCCCCCCATCTCCATTTTAAGGGGGCTCTTGGTAATCCCCAAGGCTGCACGTGCGGCCTGGTGCCCCCAACACCACGGTCCTCAGGGAGAGCTGCCCCCTCCAGCTGGAGCTCCGCAAAGCTGCAGGAACTAAAATAACTCGCCGAGTAACAGGGGAATCTTCCAGGGCTGCCGCTGAAAACGGGGCGCGCGGCCCATGGGAGACGTTACTGTGTCACCGCCGAGGGCCCGTCCTGCAGTTACCGGCTGAAGAGAATCGAAACTGTCCCCTTGTGCTGCCGTCCAGTTCCGGGAGGGGAAGATTGGCCATGGCTGCAGTTACGGAGCCGGAAACCCAGCTGTGTGGCAACTGGTAAGAAATGAAACCGAGCGCTTGGCAGAAGCGGCRCTGCGTGTCCCTTCCTGTGCAGATAAGCCCAGAGGGCAAATGAGTAAGCRATATATGTTCCCTTCGAATGCTGTGGAGTACCAGATAACGCSAGTTAATCATGAGAATACTTTCGTTTTAGGATCTCAGTTCTGCTTTTGCCTTGCTGAGCATTAGCTTGTTAAAAAGCCACTTTTGCAAACATATTTCTCAACTTTCCGACTTAGAGATTAATAGAGAGAAATCAAGCTGTTAAGTAAAAACGAAGAGTTGTTTTTTGTTTTTATTTGTCTCATTTAGATGAGAACAGAGGACTTGATTCTGAGTTTTGCTTTAGCAGACGTGGGGCTTAGAAGCGGAGATGTAAGAACAGCTTCAGTAGGTACCTGCTGATGTGGCAGTTGTGTYTCTTTGGTAACAAATACCTTTCTTTGAAAGCTGCAGTGTTGGTGATACATTGACTGATAATGATCTAATCTCAAAAGTCTCATTTGAGAAACAAGCGGCTAAAGAAGTTGATATATTTTCCAAGAGAAACATTGGAATCTAAATAGTTTCTTGCAACGTCAGCCCAGCTTGCTTGTGAGAAGTGAGTTTGTGCTGTTTTGACAGTGCTGTTGGACTTTGTTGCTTTGCCAGACTGTTGCCTGGTTGGGGCCTGGCGAGGGATAAAGCTGAACAGCTGTAGTGGTTTCCCTTTGTGGCGAGGAAGGGCACGTAAACAGGTTATAAAGCTGATTTTGATGTTTGAGGGCTGATTTCTCAGGGAGGGGGAAGGTGAACTGCTATGTGTTCATCTAGAAATAATGCTACCTGCTTGAGATAGAAATAGGACTAAGCTCCAACTGCTTCGGTCCCACTTGTTCTTTCCCAAGCTCACCTTGTTGTTTTTTGGAGGCTTGGCATCCTTCCAGCGTTAGAAAAATAAGTGTCTTTGGAATTAAGTGAGTTAGGGATCATGGGGTGCAGAGTAATATGGATGCTGTTATTGTACCTTTTAACCGATCTATTAACATGGATGATAACTTGTATACACTACAAAGCTTCCCTTTTCCATGAGGAATTGAACCCACCTTGATTTTTATCTTTATGTGGTGTGAAAAATGTGACCCCTGCATGCTGAATACATTCGTGTGCTGATTCGGAGCATGGAGGCCTGGTTGGGCTTAYGTTTATCTATAGTTGGACAGCTCTCTTAAAACATGAATTCTTAGAAAACTTTGTTAGGATTTTGAAAAACTACTCAAAATTGTTGTCAGCCCATTTTCTGAATTGTAACTCTCCCTGTCTCTCTTCTAGCAAAAAGGATATTCCTGTTGCCAATTTCACCATCCATGAAATCCACTGTAGCAGAAACATTGAAGTGTGTTGCTACTGCCATGAATCAATCCCAAAGACTGAAATGAAAAACCATGTTGAGTCTGAGCACGTGCAGGTAATGAAGAAATTTTGCCTATATATTAAAAAGAAAACAAACAAACAAAAATGCTGTATTTTATGGAAATGAATCTAATGAGATGTGTTTATTGTAGGTTACCTGTAAATGCGGTATGAAGATAGAAAAAAGTCTCTTGGAGGATCATGAGGTTAGTGGATTTTGTTTATAGACCCTCAAAATATTGTCAGTCACCGATTCTGAAGCCTTTCTGTCAGCCAAACCTGGATATTAGGCTGTGATTTGTGCATGTTTTTGCCATTTTTAACCATGCTTTATAAACTCCCAAAAAATCAGTTTGTTATCTGCCTTAAAATGGTGTAAGCTGCTCAAACCTCTGCATCATCATCTGCAATGATAAGTRTTTTGTCTTTATTAAAATGGAAAATAGTGTGCTACTTCACAAGGATATGATCCTTGTGAATGATTATGATTAATGTGAATGTAATGTGAATGTGATGATTAATTGAATTTCTTTTTCATTCCTTTCCACACCTTAGTCTTCACAGAAGTCATTATATGAATTTTAAGAGCTTGTCATGTCTGAAGAGACTTTTAAAATAAGCTAAGATAGGACACACTTTTTTTTATTTTTCTGTGTTAGTGAATCCAGTTCCATGCTGTCACCTTTTTATGAACTTCAGTATTTTATCTTCCAATGCTCATTTGAAGGTAGCTCTGAAAAAGTTGCCTTAGAGGTCTGCTAATTGGTGAGAAAAGGTGATTTTCTTGGGGAAAATGCCCAGTGTAAAACTCCAGTAGTTTATTCTGTTATCCTACATTTGTTTTTGTGTGTGTGTTTGTTTATAAAGCAAGTGATGRTCTCCTACTCTGTCTTCTATTTTAATTATTTTAATATATTTCATGCGTCTTTAGGCAACCATATGCTTAAAGTCCTACAAAGGTTACAAGTTTTTAATGTAAATTGTCTGGCATTTAGTTCAGGGATCTAATCTGTAGCCTTTAAAAAAAAAAAGTCTTGAAAATCTTTAATCTTTTCTTCTGTATTATTTAGTATGTTTTATTTCTATGTTAATTTTTGTCATGTTTCTCCTGGGCACGGCAATTCAACGCAGGATGTTCTAGTCCCTCAGCAGGTATACTTATGATCACACATCTTATACAACGTGTTCTTACATTTCTTGCAGAGTTTCTTATTTCAACCTCTTCTTTTGTGTAGCTCTGTGTCTGGCTAGAGTAACAATAGACTGTTCAACTCCGAAGTAAACCGAGAACCTTTGCATTGGTCCTGAATATGTGAGGAATAATCCCATTTTCTCTTTTTTTTCAGGCGTCAGCGTGCCCTTTGCGGCCTGCAGTCTGCCAGCACTGTGAACTCCAGCTCGCATTCAACAAGCTCCRCGAGCACGAAAATTATTGTGGGGCCAGAACCGAGAGGTGCAGCAGCTGCGGGCTGAACGTGATGGTCAAGGATCTGAAGGAGCACCCTCGGGTCTGTGGGAAAGAGGGCAAGCAGGGAAAAGCAGGCAAAACTGTGCCTCGCTTTGAGCATGGGGATGCCGATTTGCGTTCCCTTCGAGACATTAAAAACCAGCTAAGATTAGATAACTATGCTGGGCCTTTGTGGAGAATGCCCAGGGTGCTTGAAAATCAGCTTTACGGCAACTCTGTCGGGGACAAAGCACTAAAGGACATTAGGAGAAGAAATGTTTCAGCAGGACAAAGAAATTGGAATCAAGGTAAGGTGTAGATAAGGGTGGTAATTTGCTTCTAATTTGACATTTGGCAGTGATCCAGTATGAGGCTTGATAATTGTTTTATGTGAAAGCACCAAATAATGTAAAATACTGTGGCAGTATGAGTGGGACTTCTCTTTTTTCTGCTGTTGAATAGAACTGCAAATACATAAACCAATTAAAGAGAGAATTGGTGAGATACCTGCTGTTAAAGGCTAGTACACTGCCTGTTCTCTTATCACAACAAGCAGCCAGTTTAAAAATGAAATTGGAGCCGTTTGCTCACTGCAACTTCTGTCCATTTTTATTTAGCTGCAGTGCTCTTCTTTGCTTCGGTTAAGTAACAGGGTAGGTAAGATCTGTCCATGGGTTCACATTTGTGGTGCTGAGCGTTTCTGCTGTAGAAGCCTGTTGGGACATAGCAGAGACTGTGAATGTTGTAAATGCTTCTGCTCTTTGCACTTGAGCCTGTCATCTCTCACCTCAACATGCAGAGGGTCATGGCGTGTTTGAAGGCATACCCTCTCCATGAGTTCTGTGCCAAACGCCTGCTCTGCTTTATGCTTTGGGCCACCTAGGGGATTTAACACTGCAGGATACTAAGTTACAGGCTTCACTAGGTCTGCCTTGCTTGTAGAAATAACATCTGGGTTTATTAATAAAGCTAAATAATCTAGAGGGCTATAACTTGTAGGCTACTTGTATTAAATTCAAAGGAGTGTTCACAAGTCGTCTAGGCTTTATGTGAAATTCTCATATAATTGGCACAAATTAAATACTCCAGCTATTTGAAACATGCCAGCATGGGAGGAAAGCTTGGCCTTTCTTTAGCCATCATTAATTCAGGCTTGGGTCTTGTCTTGGACCCCGTTTTTTTTTTTCTTTAAGTGCAGCCTTACTCCCAGGAAACGGTTCAGGGTTTCTTCTGTATACAGCTCCCACAGTTCTCAGATATCATATCATTAAAGGAATTAAGTTTTCCCACTGATGTCCTGAAGAAACAGGACAGAAATGTTTCAGCCTTGTAAGGAGGAGGGACTGGACTACGATATTTTATTTGGACCACGTTCACAATGTAGATTACAGAACTTTCCTCAATATAACTCATAAAGCTCCCAATGGCTGTTTTAACTAGCAGCTTAATGTCTGTATTTTTTGGTAAAATGCTCAAATGTTCCCACGTTCAAGCCTTATGTGAGCCTGTGGCATGAAGGAAACAACTTTTTTTTCTCTAGTTCTCTTGCTTTGTTACAAACCAAAATAGGAAGACTCTTCCTTCTTCCTCCAAAATTTGGTGTGTGTGGAGGGTGCCCATCTGAGGCTTGGAAAGGCTGAACTCAGTGAGTATCCACATCTGCACGTGGAACATGCTCAGTGTGACTCATTAATATATTTTAGAAAGTAACTGCTTGTTCCAGGATTAGCGTACTGTAAAATTCATGGTATTTATCTTTTGAAGAGGATGACCTGGAACCACTGGTGAGAACTAAACCCAGTTTATCTTTTGAAGAGGATGACTTGGAACCACTGGCGAGAACTAAACCCGAGGAGCAGGCTGCCAGTCTGGACTACCTGCTGGCCCTCAGCCTGCAGAGCGAGGCCCGCGGCCACGGCAGCAGCGCAGCCCACGCGCCCAGCGCCCGCTCCAGAGAGCCCCTGCCCTCCGCCCGCCTCGGTGACACGGACGAGCCGGACCTCTGCTGTGATTCTCTAGAGTCTTTTACCACTTCCAACCTCGTAAAAAGTAAGTATAAACACCGACTTCTTTTTAATCCCTCCTTAAAGCTGACAGCAAGAGGGAGAGAAAGACTAGGTTCTTGGCATTGGAGGCAAGATTAGGGATTTCTTTCTTTTTAGGAATGCCCAGTGTGCTCTTTACAGCTCCCTCTACATTCTTGAAAGCAAGAACAATAAAGCAAAAACAGCAGGGGAAGAAGGAAAAAAAGTAATTAGTGAATGCTGACCTTGATATTTTAAAATTCTTTTCAACTTAAAACACTTGAAAAAAGTAAAAGATGTTCTTACTATCCTGGAGTTGCAAAAGTTCTTTCCATTCAATCATTCAATGTGAAACAGCAGCAGCTCTAACTTGATGTCATTCTGAAGAGTTTGTTTGGTTGCGTTTTGAACAAAGTGCCAAGCTTTGTGCCTGTGGAGGTGAGAAATTAGTAACAAATGAGTAGGTGACRGGGTTTGTTTGTTGAATGAACATGGCAGGAAGAGAGGACCTGAGGGGAGACCTAAAGTGCCAGGTTGTTTTAGAAAATAAAACCAGAAGGATTATCTGCAGTGGTGAAGGGCCTTTGTACCAGACCAGGGGATATGTATGTGACCCAAAAAGGTTGTGCTCGTTCAGGATGGCCTGAATTTAGGGTGTGAAGTTGACCACGTGGGACTAGAGGAGCTATTTCCTCGGCCCTGGCTCCGAGTGCTTCCTGGGCGCAGAATGGGAGCCCGTGCTTGGGAATGGGGAGCGGCTGAGCCGGCTCCATCGGCCCCTTCACGGCGGAGGACGTAACCTTTTCACTTCCCTTGCAGGCAATGAGATCATGTTGCCGTGTGAATTCTGTGAGGAGCTCTACCCTGCGGAGGATCTGATTCTTCATCAGGTTTAGTACTTCTAATTGTACGCAGGGGGTTGCGGTACTGGCATTTTTCAGTTCCTGTGACTTAACACAGTGTTCGCTCGGGGATAATGTCAGAACTGCAGCAAGTCTTTCTTTGCACAGCGTGATTTTTAAAAGGCCGTTTGTGCTAAACAGGATAGCTAATTTTTCTGTGTTGCTTGCCCAACAGACAGGTTGTAATCCAGCAAGTGCCTTTGCATCATTCAGTAAGAGAAGTTCTTCTCCAAAGCCCCGAAAATATGAAGATTTGCATGATTTTGGGCCCAGAAGCAGGAGATCCCGGCCCCAAGCTGTCCAGGCAGAAGGAAACATTATCATTCCATGTGAATTCTGTGGCATCCAGTTGGAAGAGCAAATCCTCTTTCATCACCAGGTACCGATTCGATCTGCCTTGCGCTCTGGTTGACTCTTGCAGGACTCCCTTCCTTGCCCCCACCCCATCTAACAGTTTTTGAAGTGCAGAATCCAAGGGCTGCCTCATCCATAAGCTTTTAATAGTTTTGTTGAACTTTTTGTATGTTAATCAGGACTTCTTAAGGACTAATCCTTAAGAATTCAGGACTAACTCTTAAGAATTAGTGACAGGAGTTGAATTTCTGTAATGYAGACTGTCTGCTAACCAGCAAAAGGACACGGTGTGTGGAACATTGTGTGTTCTAAGTGGTGCTCCTGGTAGCTCAAAAAGGGAAGGAATCATCCCTTTTCCAGTTCACAATGGCATTGATAGAGACTTGTTACCTGGAACTTGCTCAGACTGACACGAGCAGCACTGCAGACCGCTTGCCGCAGGCCTGGGGCTGGCTTGGAGGGTCTTGTTTAGGAGTGAGAAACAGACCGCAGAGGATCAGAGCGTGGCCTTGGGCTCACCTTAGCGATGGTGCGTCCTGTTCAGCAGGACGGACTGAGCCTCAGCTCTGGTTTTGTGTCAGAGAAAAGGTGGCTGTCAACAAGGCATTAGTGCCTCTTCCTACAGCCACGTCACTACCAGCTGTGAGCTTGGCCCAGGGGACGCTTTGCAGTGTTTTCATGGGAATGRATATGAATGAGCTGTCATCCCAATGCTCACGTTTATCCCTTGCTTTAGGACCAGTGTGACTTGCGCCCAGAAGCAGCCACGGCGGCAGCGCCGTCGCCATCGCAGCAGCCCCCGGCCTGGCAGGAYGGCGCCGGGGACGGGGACTCTCCGGAGCTGGCTCGGAGGCGCCTCCGGCACCAAGGTGTGGCCCCAACGTGGCCTCGGCCTCCTCGGCCTCCTCGCATTGGCAGCGTGGCTCTTGGTCTGCCACGGSGGGTGGAGGTTCTGCTCCATCTGCAGGACATCAACATCTTGGGTTGGCGGCTGTTCTAGCGTTATGTGAGAAGGATTAAATCACTGACACTCAGCTGAAGATTGTGGTTATGCAGTTCCATGCTGCTGCAATGGAAATAGGATCTAGTTTTGTTGCAATGATCTGAATGGTGTCTAACATCTCCTGTTGCGTTTGCCGTTCCCAAAACGTGCTCCCTTCTTTTCCTTCCAGGAGATGTTTCCCCGCGGTGCCCAGACGGCTTCAGGCAGCAGAGGTCCAGCTACCCCGGGCGAGGAACCAGGCCCCTAAATAACGCAGGAAACGGCAGGAGCGGCGCCGCGCCGGGCTCCTCCGGCGCGAGAGCTGCCGACGCRGCCGGCTTGAGAGGGAAGCCCCGCAAGGCAGCGGCCCACGAGGGGAGAGGCAGGAGCAGGGCCGCGCTCGAGCCGGCCRGTGGGACGACACCGCGGGCGTCTCCCGGCCTCCAGCTGGAGGGCTTCACACCCGGCTTCTCGAGGGCGTCTCCAACACAGCGCAGGTAAGGCCTGGGTGAGGGCCTGCCAAGGGGCTGCCCTCCTGAGGCCCCACGCTGGGCCCGTCCTCCTGGAGAAGGTGCCAGAGTGGCCGTGTGTGGGTAAGATCAGCTCTGCTGGAAGTGGGGGACACTCTTGGACATCCCAATCTTTGGGGAGTGACGACGCAACAGCAGAAACAGTGATAAATCCCACTCTTTTGGTGATTTTCCTTCAATGTAAATCCAGCTTTGCTGGTATTTGTGGCTGGGTTTCACTCAGTTTAGTTTGGTTGGTGCCTGTCATTCTCAAACAGGAAAGTTAGTTCTGTTTATATATGAAAATGGAGTGGAGAGGAAGATCACTTGGGGACTAAACACGGGGTAGCTTGTGCTGCTTATTTTTTTTCCAGAGACCTCAGTAATGCTGCAGCAGTTTTCTTTTTCACACCACCTAAACCTAAGAGGAAATGTGCAGATCTTAGTAGTGCCCATCTGGCTCATCCCCTCCTTCCCTTGCTGCTTTATCCAGCTTGCATTATGTGGAGTCTGAATCAGCTGCGTTTCCTGCAGTGCATGTGGGTTAGTGAAGGCGCCATGACTAGAGGACCTGGCTCTTCTGCTGCAAAATATCCGGGTTAGAATCGAGGAGGAGAATAAAGGGCTTGTAGATCCTCCCAACCTCTCTGGCTTGAAGGGCCTGTGGTTATTYAGCAGTGAAAGCACCAGGTTTCTATAGGTTTGCTTGATCTGAAAGCTTCCGTGTTCTTCTACAGCCTGGGAACCGGAGGAGGAAGGACRCCGGGCGGCCCAGGCAGCTTCAGGAACAGGAACGTGAAGGTAAAGCAGCCAGGGCCAAGGCGGTGCTTGGCCTTCTGCTCTGTGTTCTGCTCAAATGGCTCCATTTCAGCATGTTCATCAGCCCAGGTCCTCTTCCAGCCTCCAAGAAASGTGGAAATGTTGTAACGTGCAGCGTGTTAAAGGGCTCCAGCTTTGTCACTGCCCCCTTGGCCCAGCCCGTGTGCCTGGTTAACGAGGTTAAACCCCTCTTTGTTCCGAGGGTGTCCTGCCTCTTGTCACGCTCTGTGCTAGCCGGGGGCACCGCGCTCACCTCCCGCTCGGGCTTTGCTGGATGAAGAGCTCTTGGAGGCYGTGGTGCTTCAAGGGGTTTTGCACCCATGGCTTTTATCAAACATTYGCAAAACATCTTTCTTTTTCCCTTCCCTCTAGACAAAAGCCCAGGGCCCAGAGTTTGGTTATGCAGAGGACAACTGATCTGCCACGTTGGAACTGTGTATTTAGCACTCCACACCCTCCTACTATGCACTACACGACTTATCTGAGCGCAACTAACTGCTTTATTGCCATGTCATTGAAGACTTTCTATCGATTTAAATTTTTATAGGCAGTGATCATTTTATATGTATTTTTAATTTGTGAGAGTATCCTCCAGGTTTTTACCTCAGTGATCTGTACTAGCACCATCCCCTGTCAGCAGATATCCTAGTTGGGGAGCTCCATGTTCCACCTTGGCCTTTTGGGACCRCCGGTGCAAGAGAAGTTGACGCACTCGGTGTTGAGCTCTGCCTGCTGAGGACAGCACCCGTGTGCGGTGGAGAAGCAGAGCCCTGGGCCCAGGCTGCTCTGGAGCGGAGCTGCTCCTCGTACCTTGCTCACTGGGTGGCTTGGGGCCCCTGGGAGGACCAGCCCGTGCTGCAGCGGGGTCAGCTGTGGCAGCCGGGGGCTTGGCTGAACCTCCTGCTGCTCCCTGCTTGGGCCCAGCCCCTAGGGTGAGGGGGGGTTTCCACCTCCAGCTGCAGCGTGTGGTGCCTCCAGCGCCCACAGGGGTGGTTGGGATCCTGAAGCTCCATGGATGAGCTCCAATCCTGTGGTTTTGCTTGGCGAAAGGCTCTTTACCACTGTATTTGTTCATGCTTTTTAAACTCCTTGTAATAAAATTTATCTAACGATGKCCCGAAGCCTTGTGAAGGAGAAGTCTGTGCCAGGACCTGGCAGAAGCCCAGGCTGAGGGCAAGTTTGTCRCCCAGCATCACCCTTCACTAGCTCCCCTTCCCTCCTTACCACCTCCTTCTCACTGCACTCTGCTCCCTTTGTCAGGGTTCTGGGCGCCTTAGGAAGAGCTTAGGGAGGGGGTCCTGATCCAACATAATCCCGGTCCTGGAGCAGCTGGGAAGGAGGCTCCTCACCTAGGAGCAGGGTCACACAAGCCCCAAGAATGGCAGGAAACTCCTGATCCCCGCTGGGACGTTGGTTCTAAAATAAAGACATTTTACGGATGCCTCCACTACTGTAAATGTTTATTAATACAAGAAAAGAGCAGAATAAAGATATTAAAACCAGGAGGCCTTTCTAGGGCCGATTCTGGCTCGGTGACAAGGGAACCTAAACTGGCTCCTCTGCTTGTTAACAGGAGGCCTTGCTTCAAAAACCTGCTACAAGGGAGAGTAACTAAAGCGACTAAAATGACACCTGGGTTTAGTCTGCATTATCTCCCCAGAGAAATATTCCCATTTCTCCTGTAAGAGGGAGATGAGCCCTTCTCCTTGCTTTCCCTTTTGTACAAAAGGCCAGGGCTGAAGGGCCGACCCAAGGGGCAGGATCCGGGGGCTGCAGGCGCCAGATCAGAACCACGACTCCACTCGGGCACTTTTCCATTTTGTTTAGTATATTTTTTACATTCTGAATGAATATATTAAAAAAGAGAAATCACAAACCAACCTTTGCTTTGACAAACAAGCCTATTACAGACAATGTCAAGTTCATTTAAAGCACAAGGAAGTAACGATGATTAGAAAAGCTTTAATTAAAGGCCATTTGAGCTACAGCCCAACCACTGCAGCACYTCCTTCCTAGTAAATTAAAGAACCCCCCAAAAGCAAAATTAACCCCCCCAAACATAACCCTCGAGTTCACCAAGGGATCATACCATATTTTCCAGAAAAAGAAAGTGGATGAAGGTTATTTATTGTTGTGACATTTTTCCTGTAATAAGAGGCTTCATTTACACAGCAAGGTGTAAACAGCATTGTTACTGAACAGCATTGTTGTTATTTGTAATCATAAATAATTAAKTGTAATAAATACGTATCAAGTAACTTTACAGCACGCTTTTCAGGGCCAAGATGCAGATATGTTTCGCTCAAATGTGCTCTCTGCAAGGAGAAGAAAAACATTAGCAGCAGCTCTCTTGCTCACAGCTGGAATCGCGTGCCGGGCCGGGGCGGCCCCCGAGCGCGCCAGCCCCACCACGGGGGACTCGCCCACGCTGCAAGTCCACCCAACGTGTCGAGGGCTTCAAAGGAGAGGGTAAAACCAAGACAAAACTGCGTCCAGAAGCACCGGGCAGAGAGCCAAGCCCCTCCGCCGGGCCCTGCATCCGCCCAACCGGTCGCTCTGCGCCGCGCTCCCCGCTCTCCGGCTGTCTGCCCTTCCTCCCAATGGTTTCTTCAGCTACATAAATGCTTCTACCAGAAAACGGACAAGATTCAAGAGTAAATATTATTCCTACATGTATCTGTTCCTTTGAAAGGGAAGTATGGAGTAGAACGGGAACACAGCTTTCCTAACACCAGGAGCTGGAGACGCTGGATGCCAACAACTACCTCTACGACTGTTGCACACACGGTTTTCCATTCGCTCACGGAAGAACAAGAATATACACGCGGGTTTCGGCTTTTCTCTCTTACTCACAGTTTATCTTCCAAGTACCACACACTCATCATTCCCAATATTCACAATAATATACAATAAATACAGCTTTTTCAATTCCCATTACCACGGACAAGCCAAATTAATTAGTGTACGCTGTCTTCCAAAGAGACATAGAATACCAACCTTAAAGTACAGTTACACACACATCATCGTAGACCTCTCGGGTGGTTCGACGTGTCCAAAACACATCGGAAGGAAAATAACTAACCTGGAGCTCGGTACTGGCACTTAACTTACACATAGTACGAGCTGAGCAGCACAGCAGCAATTTCCACTTGTTCTCTCCAGTTCTTCATCACAGGCAACTGGCGCTTGTGCCTGGTTCTAACAAAGCCAGGCCTGACTTGGAGATGCCCCCAGAACAGGGGCACGTTTTCTTATGGTCATAAAGGAAGATGTATATGTTGTTTCTTACGTTACTGCATAATGTATTTCACAAAATACAAAAGGTAAACTTACAGATTTGTTCTCTCTCTACTCTGCCATTTTCTTTCCATAGAAAATAAAAGCTCTCTCTTCAGACAAGTGATTTTGTGCCTTCCCCCCATCCTCCTGTTGGGTGTCATATTTCTAGGATAATTTGCTCTTAAAGATCAATCATTTTTGAGTACAAAAACAAGTTACAGGTGGTTAAGCACTGATTATTCTGAAAGCTGTTCCGAGATAAGGTCACAGATTACAGGCTCCAACTGTGGTATCTTCTATTTCCATTTCTGCTAAAACTTGAGTGATATAATAAGGAAATTACTTGTTAATAAACACAGCAGATATTCAAGAACATTAGGGCAAAGACCCAAGTGAACTACTGTCCTTCCCATTATGTTCTTTCAATTAGAAACTCTCCTCATTAGGAGTGCCTGGTGAACCCCCCAATTAACCAGGGGCGCTTGCTTGGAGCCAACAAGCCCACGGTGGGAAGGCCRAACACGCAGCTCAGCTGCAGGTTTCCTGCTCTAAAACTGAGTGCTGGAGGGTCCCAMACTGTGCAGGGAGAGGCCCCAGGTGCTGCTCTCCGAGGTGCTTGGGATGATTCCTCTCCCAACCCCGTTAATTCCATTTTTGTACTCAAATGCTTCGGGCAATGTGGTCTCTGATCATTCCCCCCCGAGTGCTCCCAGCCTCAGAACGCTCTCAGCTTCGTCACCTTCGCACGGGCGATATCCTTCTGCATTACAAAATTAGAAATGTATGTGTTGGAAGGTTCCTCAAAATTAAATTATACACAAACTGGTCTTTACTAAACTATCCTACAAATATTCCACAAACAAGGCAGCAAAATAACCAGTCCACCACAAAATCTACAAATACAAAATGTAAGTCTTCCAGGATTATTGTAACGGGAACAACAGTTCAGAAAATAAATTAACCTCCAGCTTTTCACATAGTATAATGGAGGTGGGTGTTTTTTTTTTTTTTTTTTTCTTTTTAAATGCAAATTGAAGGGTTTCCAACAGAGCCAAGTCATGAAAGAAGCCCGGAGGTCGTGTGCAGCCTTCACCTTCCTCCGCTCAGCCGCTGAGGGGGTCCTCCCTGTAGTGAATGGCGTATCGGAGCTTTTCCAGCATTATGTCCAGAGACGAGTACTGGGGAAGCTTGATCATAAACATGCAGGTTTCAACCCGGATGTACCGAGAATCTGGGGAACCTGCAGGCAGGAAACACAAGCAGGTGAAAACACCCTCCCTGTGGGCCCGACTTTCCAAGAGAGTCCTTCCCTACCCCAGTGTCCATCAAGTTATGGACAAAATTATAATAAAATTATAACAAAATATCAAGTTAATCCAATTACTTCCATCTCAAATCCTTAAATATGGCTGTGTTAGTCCTACCATTTGAAATACAGAAGACAGACATTATACAAAAATCTCCTATTGTCTCTAGAGGACAGTTTGCAGAATTACATGATTTGAAAACAACTCTCTCTCCTCATTACAGCCTGCAGCTCTTGTTTTCATGCTCCTTCCATGTTTAAATGAGCAAAGAGAGAAGTGAAACCTGGAACTGCAATGGGAGCAGGGCTGATTTCAGCAGCCTTGCGGGCAGGAACGACACCCACCTGCGGCTCCGTCCGGGGGAGCGATTTTCATGGGGTACGGCGGGACGTGGGCGGTGTCGGGGCCGCCGTCTTTGCAGGGGCACGTGAAGGGAATGCGCTCCTGGTTGCACGCGAACTTGATGAACTTGCAGAGCTCCTCCTGCGTGAAGGTTTCCAGGGCGCTCCAGAAAAACTCGATGTGCTGATCGGTCTCCATCAGGCCCACCTGGTACATGGTATGCGCCTAGCGGAAAGGAAGCCACGTGGTCACTGCTGCCTCCTCGCACCCCCAAACCTTCCCCACCTCGCACCCCCAAACCTTCCCCATCCCGACTTTAAGAGGGTAAAGGAGAATGGAGATGACCCCTCTCGCCAAGTTCTCCTGTCTGTTCAAAACCATTACAGAATCCTGTCATGGTCTATACAGGCATATACAATTATTCCTCTCTGGAAAAAGCCACATTCTTATTTTTCTGAACCCAATTACATCTTTGGAGGTGAAAGGGTGTGTCCAAGTACAGAGCACTGTTCTATAAAGACTAGCATGGCTGAAGGATAAGGATTATCAAGGACTAAGGATTATCTATAAGGACTATCAAGGCGAAGACTCTCCCCTAAAATCTCCCCYGTGGAAATGTCCTGACTTGCTTGTCAAATCTGTAAATTTTGGCAAAGAAGTTGCAATAATTCGCACCTTGAGAAACTCCAGGTTAATGTAGGGCAGCCCACACGTCCTCAGCTCCATCTCGAGAGGCGTCAGCGTGGTCAGAAGCTGCAGGGGAATAATAGAGCCGAGGCCGGCAC